CCCCCAGCACCTGCACCTTGGAGACTGTTACCCCCTCCACAGCAACCACCTGTCACATCAAACTCTTCTGGGCAGGTTCATGAGTCCCTTTTTCCCCCAGAAAACCATCCTTCCCACCACTCCACCTCTGCTATGAATTCCTCTGGGAAATTCCCTTCTAGTCATGCTTAGGGTCCCTGTACTAGAGGCCCCATATTCTCCTGGAAGCCCCTCAATCAAAACTAAACTCAGGGCCAGGTGCGGCAGCCCATACCTGCAATCCCAGCACTTTGGGAGGCAGAGGCGGGCAGATCACTTGAGGTCAGGAGTTCTAGGCCAGCCTGGCCAACATGATGAAACCCCATCTCTACTACAAATACAAAAACTCGTCAGGCGTGGTGGAGCACGCCTGTAATCCCAGCTACTTGAAGCAGGAGAATCTCTTGAACCTGGGAGGCGGAGGTTGCAGTGAGCCGAGATGGCGCCATTGCACGCCAGTCTGGGCAACAGAGCGAAACTCCCTCTCCAAAAAAAAAAAGACAAGACTAAACTCAGCATGGGTCCCAAGCCCTGTTCCTAGTCTGCTCTTCTGTTTATAAATTGGCCCTGCACATCTTGTTCCATGGGTGTCCCTTAAAGCCTCTGCAGGCCCCATGGAGCTGGGCACACACCCCTGGCTTGTCCCAAAGAACCAAAGAACCTGGCTATGACTCTGGCCACCACACATCTGAGACAGAGATACTTACAAACAGTGAGAGTCAGAGAACTGAGAGACGGAGAGAGGACAACAGTGAGGAGCAGAGCCCCCAGGTTAAGGTCAGGAGAAGACACAGGCTGGGGTCGTGGGGAGAGAGGGGACCCCAGGAAGTTCACAGAGAGACCTTGGAACTCCTACCAGGGTGGGGAACTTGCCCCAGATATGAGCATTTCAGAAAAACAGGAGAGAGTCTGCTTAGCCATTTGGGTCAAGGCTCAAGAGCAGGATTTCATTCATTCATTCATTCATTCATTCATTCATTCATTCATTTATTCCCTCAAACATGTAGCCATTTAACAAGTATTTGAGAAGCAAGCCTCTATCCCTACCTGTCCCTAGTGCAATTGGGGAGAGAGATGTAAACATCTAAGTGAGATCAATGTTGGGACAAAGGAAGGAAAGGTGTTGGCTGGGCGCGATGGCTCACCCGTTAACCCAGCACTCTGGGAGGCCAAGGTGGGAGGACTGCTTACGCCCAGGAGTTTGAGACCAGCCTGGGCAACACAGCAAGACCCTGTCTCTACAAATAATAAAAAATTAGCTAAGGTGTGGTGGCGCTTGCCCATGGTCCCAGCTACTCAGGAGGCTGAGGCAGGAGAGTGGCTTGAACCCAGGAGTTCGAGGCTGCAGTGAGCTGTGTTCACACCACTGTGCCCCAGCCTGGGCAGAAAGCAAGCCTCTGTCTCAAAAAGTAAATAAATAAAAGAGAGAGAGAGAGGATGTGATGGGGACAGACAGGTGGTACCATGGCCAGCCCTGAGGGTGAGGAAGTCTTCAGCCCAAAGACACCACAGCCAGGCCAAATCATGAAGCAGGAGAGGAAAAGAGGCATATTCTACCATGCTGACCCCTATCCCAGCCAGGCGGGGCAATTAAAGGAAGCCCCTCCACAGGGGAAGGGCAGGAAGAACCCTCGAGAGAAGAGGAACCGTGTGTGTGCAGAGACCAGGGGTGGGAGGAAGTCAGGCCATTCAGGAAAACGGCAAGACTACAGGATTTACAAGTGGGTTGAGGGAGCAGTGAGCGGTCAGAGGCTGGACCCTGAATGAGAATCACCGGGGGGCTGTGGTCTGTGGTTCCAAGGTCATGCTTAGGACGAATATCCCAGGCCATCACCCACCATCCACGAGACCCCAGGTCCAACAACCAAGCTGTCACCAAACCGTGGATGGCCTGGCCTCTGGAACCAGGCAGGCTGCAGAAACAGCTGCCCCCAAGACCCCTCGATTATGGCTGCCAGATTATTGCCAAACACCACACACTGACGACTACCCCCTCGTCAGGAGGCTAGCCGGGCTCCCGGGGGGCTGCCTTCAATGAACAGATAACAATGATTTGTGATTAGCATATTGCAAATAAATGACCCTCCTCCCAGCATCGAGAGAACGGTCCTTCTCAGTAGGTTTAGCGTGCCCCCTACGAAGCTGTCTCCAAGACCCGGTTTTACAACCGTCAGCCCCAAGTTCTCGAACATTTTAAGAGTGCAGGCTTGGAGCGGCTGCGGAGTTTCAGCCCTTCCCTCCGCGTTTTGCTCCGTGGGGTCCTGTGGGACCCTCTGAGTCAGAACTGCCAATTTCTAGGTCACCCTCAGAGCAGGCTATGGAGGAACAAGGTGTGGACTTGAGCCTCCCACACCCCAGAGGCAGGATGGGGGTTCCGATGCCCTGTCCCCTTGGGGCCAAGCCTGTCCCTCGATCCGCAAGTGCCTGTTCAGAAGAGGTCAGAGTCTATCTCACACCCTCCTGGGCCCCAAATAGGGCGGTTCATGACGGCCACCTAACTACCTTATACCTAGCCCCTCCCTGCCAGCAGCCACCAACCTCCAGCCACCTCCTCCTGCTTCAAATAAATAATCGATGCTGCTGCCCTTCCCCTCTGGAATGACACTGCTGAAATAAATGAGCTGCTTGGGGCACCTTCCAAGCCCCAAGGCCCCGGGCCAGTGCCAAGGAGCGAACAGTCCCGGCCACAGGGGACCCAGACACACAGGCAGACCATGGCAGCAGCGGGCCAGGGTAGCTTCCAGACACCCCTCCCCTCCTCTAAGAGAACCCCTGGCAAATGCCCACTCCTTCAAAAACTGTGGGGGCCTGCCCTCCACTCTCACCCACCAGGCCCAGGGCCATCCCGGGGTGCCCTCGGCACAGTCTCCATCCAAGACCCAGTGCTCCCCCTACGGGCCCTGCAGCACCCCTATGTCCCAGCACCCCTCACTTCAGCTGGGATGGGGACACAGGAGACTCCCATCGCAGGACCTTGGTCCGGGGATGCAGGGTCAGCAGGCCAGATGCCAGAGCTCCAGCCCCCTCCAGCACGGCCAGGAGGGTGGAACTCCCGGTTGTACAGCGTCTCCCTTCCCTGGGCCCACGCCAGGCCAGGCAGGGTCCCACTCCCTGGCTGCTGGCCAGGGGTGGGGAGCCCAGGAGAGGTGTCAAGCCCGGCATGCCCAGGGACTTAGGATGGGGTGGGTGGGTGTTCGGCACCCTGCGGCCCCTCCTCTGTCCTCTCCACCCATCTGCAGGAACTCAGAGACCACCCACAGACCGGGTACCCCCAACTTACTCCTCTGAGCCCTTTGTGCTCCCCCACACTGCCACCCTCTGAGTCCCCTCCACCCGGGGTTCAGCGGCCACCAACACACAGGCCAGTCCCCTCTCCTTGGGGGGGTCCCCAACAGGAACCACCCTGCTGGGGCAACCCTGGCTGGGCTGGATCCCCGCCTGGGAGTAGGGGTCCCGGACCAGGGGCCAGCCCAGCCTGGGGAAAGGCGGAGGGGGGGAAAGGCGGGGATCGCGGCCTTCCCAGCCCCCTCCGCTCCCACCCCGGCGCCCGCCACCGCGGGCAGCGCGACTGACCTCATTCGCCAACTGCAGCAGCCTGCGGGCGCCGGCCCGGGACGCCCCCCACCTCCAGAAGGGCCGGTGGCAAGGAGGGAAGGGGTGACAGCTCCCAGCTCCCGGCCCCTCCCGGGCAGGTGGGGGGCGGCCGTCCCTCCCCTCCCCCGGCCCGAATTATAATCCCAGTCACGTGCCTCCCCGGGCACCCAAAAGCCGGCCCCAGCTCCTGTAACACCTTGAGAGGGGGAGGGGCGGGGGCCCCCCCCGGAGGAGGCGGAGGGGATCGGGGGCGGGGGTGGGGGGACGGGGAGAAGGGCCTCGGCGCCCGCCCCCCCGCAAAAGTTTCTCCTACCTTGGAGGATCCCCAAGCGCTCCTGCCAGCGGCGCCCCGGCCCCGGCCCGCGGCCAGGACTCAGCCTCCTGCCGCTGCCTCCTTAATTAATCCGGGAGAATGGGGGAAGGAGAGGCAGAGGGAGGCGAGGACGGCGGCGCGGCGAGGGCGGGGAGGGAGGCGCGGGGAGGGGGCGCGGGGGGGGATCGGCCGGCCGGGGGGCTGGCGCTCGGCGGCCCCCACCCCCGGCGCGGGCTGCGGCGGAGGGCGGGGCGGCGCGGGGAGCGGAGCGGAGAGCGGGAGCGCGGGGAGGCTCTTTGTTCTGTAATCCCAGTAAGATTGCCAGCCATTCGCCCCGGCCCTAATCCCAGCCCCGCGCAACACCACCCTCCATTGGCTGCCATTTACATACGGGATTAGCCCGCCCCGCGCCCCGCGCCCCTGCGCCCCCCCCGCTCGCCACCCCGCGCCCCTGCGCCCCGGGGACCTGGCGCCGCGGTGGGGAGAGCGCGCCGCACCCCTCGGCCCCGGACCTGCGCGGAGGGGCGGGGGCGCCCTCGGTTCCCCCCACCCAGCGCCGGATTAGAAAGCCTGGGCTCGCCCCCGCCTACCCCCCTTTGCCTCCCGCCACTGGGAGAGCTGCGGGGCGCAGGGGGCTGGAGTTGGAGGGTCAAGGTCACCCAACTGGAACGCGCGGAGGCCCTGAGCGTCCGGGCTGGTGACTCCCGTCTGGCCCGGGTTCTAGTCCCAACGCTTGGGCCAGGTACCTCTTACAGCCTTTGTCCCCCTCCCGCCCCTGAGATGTGCAGGAAGGCTGTGACGTGCCGAAAGTCGCGGCAGAGCCAGCTGGACTCTTGGTCCCATCTTGTGTGATGGGACCTCCCTCTGATAGGCTTTTACCCCTGTCTCCCCCCACCCCAAACCACACACACACCACAGCAGTGCTCCTACTGAATCGGAGCGCACACCTCCCATCCGGTCCCAAAGCCATAAATCCTAATTCAGCACAAGGACCTCACTCCTTCCCCCACGTGGTGCCCTGAGCCCTGAACTAGGCCTTGGCTAGGCTGGGCATGGCAGGGAGGGAGAGACTCACCCCAGGCAGGCCCCAACCCCAGGGAGCTTCTGGCTTAGAATAACAGCCAAACATAGACTGAGAACCTCCCAGGTCCCGGCAGAACCTACAAGCTCTCCCCACAGCCTTCTTGCAAAACTGTGATTGCTGAGATTATGGCAGTGAGCGAAGTCTAGCGTGGCTGACTCCATCTTGCTTCCAGCCTCAAGGGCTGGCTGTCCTCACTCATTCCGGGGCACAGGCCAAGCGAAGGAGGGGAGGAATTTAGTTTATAGTTCAACTTTGAAGTAAGGATAATAATAGTTACTCCTTAGACCTCACCTGCTCTTTACTCAGAGACCAAAGCCACCTTTGTAAAACTAATGAAAGGCGGTAAGAGGCGGTCGCGGTGGCTCACGCCTGTAATCTCAGCACTTTGGGAGGCCAAGGCAAGTGGATCACCTGAGGTCGAGAGTTCAAGACCCGCCTGACCAACATGGAAAAACCCTGTCTCTACTAAAAATACAAAATTAGCCAAGCGTGGTTTGCACACCTGTAATCCTAGCTACTCGGGAGGCTGAGGCAGGAGAATCGTTTGAACCCGGGAGGTGGAGGTTGCAGTGAGCTGAGATGGCACCATTGCACTCCAGCCTGGGCGACAGTGTGAAACTCCATCTCAAAGAAAAAAGGAAAGGCCATGAGATTAGGGTTATGGGAGGGGCCTGGATTCTGCTAAAACCCAGGCATGTTTTTATAATCTCTGACTGCTCAGGAGTCACGTGGCCAGAGATCACAAGGTTTGCCAGTTCCCCTCTTCCTCCTATAGATAGCATCTCTATTGTGGAAACTGAGATTGGTCTTCTCAGATGTTTTTCAGACTTTCAAATTCTGGCAACTGACTGACTCACCTGGACCTGTGTGACTCATGACTCAGCCCATCCCGTGGCCCCGACTGAGAGACAGACTCAGAGCATAAGGACCGTTTGCCACACCCTGTGATTTCCTCCTCAACCAATCAGCAGTACCCATTCCCTGGGCCCTTGCCCACCAAGTTATCCATAAAAACCCTAGCCTCTGAGTTCTTGGGGAGATTCATCTGAGTAACAATTCCAGTTCTACTGCTTGGCCAGGTCTGTGTTAATAAAACTCTCTTGGCCGGGCTCAGTGGCTCATGCCTGTAATCCCGGCGCTTTGGGAGGCCAAGGTGGGTGGATCGCTTGAGGTCAGGAGTTCAAGAACAGCCTGACTAACACAGCGAAACCTCATCACTAAAAATACAGAAATTAGCCGGGCGTGGTGGCGCATGTCTGTAATCTCAGCTACCCAGGAGGCTGACGCATGAGAATTGCTGGAACCCAGGAGGAGTTGGAGGTTGCAGTGAGCCGAGATTGAGCCACTGCACTCCAGCCTGGGTGACAGAGTGAGACTTGTCTCAAAAATTAGGACAGGTGTGGTGACTCATGCCTGTAATCCCAACACTTTGGAAGGTAGAGATGGGTGAATCACTTGAGGCCAGGCATTCAAGACCAGCCTGGCCAACACGGTGAAACTCTGTCTCTACTAAAAATACAAAAATTAGCCAGGAGTGGTGGCAACCTCCTGTCATTCCAAGTACTCAGAAGGCTGAGGCATAAGAATCGCTTGAACCTGGGAAGTGGAGGTTGCAATGAGCTGAGATCACACCACTGCACTCCAGCCTAGGCGACAGAGTAAGACTCTGTTTCAAAAATTTTTTAAATTAAAAAGTGTAAAATAAAACTGTTTCTCTGCTGCAATACCGTGGTCTCAGTGAATTCTTCCTGTGCCGTGGCAGGAAGAAGCCGTCAAAGGAAGGCGATTACACTGGGTTCCCTCGGACACACATCAGGCACTTGCTGAGGTTTAACTTTGGCTGACCAGGTCTCCTCTGAGAAACCCACAAGCCCATCAGACTGAGAGCTCCTCCTGGGCAGGCCACGTCAGCAGTGCCCAGCACAAGGCGGGGCACAGAGGGGCTCTCATGCCCACAGAGGGTATTGGGCAATGTCAGGGTTGGGAATGAAGTCACCAATGCTCCCTTCATCCCATGACGCCCTCCTGTGGTAAGGGGACATCTCAAGGCACCCTCCTGTGTGGCCCCCGGGGACCCAGGTCCTCTCCCACCCTGCCTCTTTCTCTTTTTGTTTTTGTTTTTTGAGATGAAGTGTCGCCCAGGCTGGAGTGCAGTGGTGCGATCTCAGCTCACTGCAACCTCCACCTCCCAGGTTCAAGTGATTCTCTTGCCTCAGCCTCTCGAGTAGCTGGGATTACAGGCGCCCACCACACCTGGCTGATTGTTTTTTTTTTTTTTTTTGAGATGGAGTTTCACTCTGTAGCCCAGGCTGAAGTGCAGCGGCACAATCTTGGCTCACTGTAACTTCTACCTCTTAGGGTTCAAGCAATTCTGCCTCAGCCTCCCGAGTGGCTGGGATTACAGGCAGGCACCACCACGCCCAGCTAATTTTTGTATTTTTGGTAGAGATGGGGTTTCACCATGTTGGCCAGGCTGTTCTCGAACTCCTGACCTTATGATCTGCCTGCTTTGGCCTCCCAAAGTGCTGGGATTATAGGCGTGAGCCACTGCGCCCATCCCCTGCCTCTTTCTCTAATCACCTGTGTGACCTTGGGCAAGTCAGTTCCCTTCTGTGAGTCTCCACTTCCCTCCTCCTGTGGCTTCTCATTGGACCACGGCGTGGCCCCCATGGTAAATAACCCTGGTGATTGGCCCTTGCTTGTCAAGCATCTTCTAGGTGCTAGGTTTGTTGCATTTAAGTTCTCTAAGTCTTGCGCTAAGGCTCCAAGGTGGGTACTATTGGCCTCATGTTACAGGGATAAAGTCACGTGTTTAAAGACATGCAGCCCTGGCCAGGTGCGGTGGCTCACGCCTGTAATTCCAACACTTTGGGAGGCCGAGGTGTGCGGATCACCTGAGGTCAGGAGTTCGAGACCAGCCTGGCCAACATGGCGAAACCCATCTCTACTAAAAATACAAAAATTAGCCGGGCCTGATGGTGGGTGCCTATAACCCCAGCTACTCAGGAGGCTGAGGCAGAAGAATCGCTTGAACCCAGGAGGCGGAGGTTGGAGGGAGCCAAGATCTCACCACTGCACTCCAGCCTGGGCGACAGAGTGAGATTCTGTTCCCCCTCCACCCCCTGCCCCCCAAAAAAGAAAAGACAGGCAGCTCTGTCAGTGGTGCTGCTGGGTCCGTGAGAAAGGATAGAACTGCTGTACACTGACCCTACCCCCATGATGTCTGCACCGGCGCAGTGTCAGGGCTAAGGCACGCCCTCCGTGGGCCCAGTTGGTTTCAAGGCAAAATGCTTCTCTGACCCCAAGTCCTCCACTCCAGGGCTTGGAGGAACTGAGGTAGGGAAGCATCCGTGTGTGCTCAATACTGCCCTCTGCAGGTAGAATCCGGAACAGGGGTGAGCCGGAGGAGTGCTCCCTGCAGCCTCTGGGAGACCTCTCTGCTCCCCAAGAGCCAAACGGCCAGCCTGACTCCCAGCCTCACCCAGGCAGAGACCAGGGGGCAGTGCGGTACAGCACTGGCACGTCCAGGCCCCGCTCGGCCACATCTGGGAATGACATCTGGCTCCACATGCGCTGTGCATCCTAGGCCAAGTCAGCCAGCCTCTCTGGGCTTCAGCTCCGCATCTGTAAAATGAAGGTGTCTTTGTAAGATTACTGTGAGGGTCAAATGACACACGATGGAGGAAAAATGTCTCGTGTGGCGTCTGGTGCATCGTAAGTGATCAAGTACGGCTCTCGGTTGTTTAATTTGTTGATTTCATCTAGTAACTAAGTCCAATCAGAGTTTTCGCTTGAATTGCTCTTGCTAAGGACACGGTCAAGATCATTCACACCGTTGTTGAGTTCAGCTCCTTTTCCTGAGAAGGACAACAGCGTTCCCCTTCACATTTAGCTGAAAAATGTTCTGTCACTGTTCCCCAGTGTAGCAAACACTGCCGCACACAGCGGCTCACGCACTTGAGGAGGCTGAGGTGGGAGGATCACTTGAGCCCAGGAGTTTGAGACCAGCCTCGGCAACATAGTGAGACTCTGTCTCTAAGAGAGACAGAAAGAGAAAGAGAGAGAGAGAGAAAGGAGGGAAGGAGGGAGAGAGAGAAAGGAGGGAAGGAGGGAGAGAGAGAAAGGAGGGAGGGAGGGAGAGAGAGAAAAGAAGGAAAGGAAGGAAGGGAGGGAGGGAGGAAGGCTGGGGGTCAGGCTGGCTGTTTGGCTCTTAGGAAGTAGAGAAAGGAAGGAAGGAAGGAAGGAGGAAGGAAAGAGAGAAAGAAAAAGAAGGAAAGAAAGAAGGAAGAAAGGAAAGAAAAAGAAAGAAAGAAAAACAGAGGGAAAGAAAGAGAGAGATGGAGGGAGGGAGGAGAGGGGAGGGAAAGAGGAGTGGAGAAAGCAGAAGCAGGTGACATCCTGGCCGGGTACAGTGGTTCATACCTGTAGTCCTAGCACTTTAAGAGGCCGCGGTGGGAGGGCTGCTTGAGCATGGGAGTTTGAGAGCAGCCTAGGCAACACAGTGAGACCTTGTCGAAGGAAGGAAGGAAGGAGAGAGAAAAGAAGGAAAGAAAGAGAGAATGGGAAAGGAAAGGTGAGGTGAAGTGGTTCTGGACAGGCGCAGCGGCTCACACCTGTAATCCCAGCCCTTTAGGAGGCTGAAGTGACAAGATCGCTGAGCTTGGGGAAGTCAAGGCTGCAGGGACCGTGGGCTGTGATTGCACTACTGTGCTCTAGCCTGGGTGACAGAGTGAAACCTTGTTAAAACAAAACAAAAAAAAAAAGGAATTCTTGCCAGTGGCACCTCCGCATCCATAGGAGTTTTTCCTTTTATCAACCCTCCTTACCCCAAAGAACCCCATGTCGCCAGGCTCCAGTCACGTCTGCCCCACACAGGCCGCAGCTCTCCTCCTGTGGACCCTGCCTCATCACCCGCTTCGAGGCCTGACCAGGCCCCCCACTATGCAGATATGGAAACTGAGGCCCCGCTCGCGCCTTCCTCGTCACTGCCTCGCAGTCACAGGAACAGAGCGTCTGCCATCCACGGCCTTGTTCACTGAAACTTACTGACCGCCCCCCAGCCGGTGGGCGGGACTGTCCCATTTCACAGATGGGAACACAGGACTCAGGTCATTTGCAGAAGTGAGTGTGTACCTGGGCGTCATCTATCAGCCAAGGAGCTCCT